CCCCACTTATGTGGGGAGGGGGGTGTCTCCTTGTGTGCTGCAAGCAGGAGTTGCGGTGGGTTGGAGGGGGGGAGCTCAGTCAGGGCTTCCCCATCCTGCGGGTTGACTGGGGAGGGAGGTGGCTCCTAGGAGGTGGGGTGGGGACAGCGGTTGGGGTGGGTCTCTTCTGAACCTGGTGGAGACGCAAGGCTTTTCCCTTTGGAAGGGGTGGGGGCGGGTTTCCTCTGTGGCTGCTGTGGGCAAGCGAAGGCAAGCAACTGGTCGGTCGGGTTCCTTCCTCCCCGGTTCGCTGCATTACAGGCTGGGGGCGGGGGGGTGGAGGGTCCGCTGCTGGTTGTGCCTGAGCTTAGGTTTCTGGTGCCAGAAAATGAGGGAGCAGGCTGCCCCTTTCCACCACTTGCCCTCCATGCTGCTGGTGAGGGTGCTCGGCTTGGGTTCACCAGGGCTGAGAGGCCTTGTGCCTACAGTGGCATGGAGCTGGGCCCCTCCATCGCTCATGAGTTGCCATTAGTGCCGGTGTGACGGCAGATTCGTAGCTGTGCAAGAAGTTTAGGGGCCTCCTTTAAATTCCCGGTAAGCTGGTGTCAGCTTTGCCAAACCTTTCAGCAGAGCTGACACTAATTAAATCCCCTGGTTGGCAGCCTCGGCAGAGAATGGCTTGAGCCTTGGAGACGGTGTTCCCTTTGCTTGCTTACAGGTGGCTCTCGCAGAGCTGCCTGGGGTTTGCTGGCAGTGTGTGTTGGGTTTTGGGAGTGGAGGTGGGCTTGTTCTGTTGCATCCCATGCTGTAACCCTATGGACAAAATCTGGTTCAGCTGGTCCTTCCTCTTGGAACAAAGCAGCTGCAAGTGAGACGGGAGGACCACAAACAGCATCTTCCTTTGCTCCGTGGGAATTATGTTTTATCCTGGTCTTCTGGTCTTTTCCCAAATGAATGAACTCAGGACCTCTCTGAATGCAAGTAAGTTTTAATTGAGGCCACCAGTTAGTGGGAATCGAATATTTGTAAGGAGCTTTGGTTTGAGTTCAACAAGCTCCTGACGGACGACTGGAGTTCTGGAACATGCTTGCTTGTGTTCAGTGACGGCCTGCACATCCTGGTCCAGAGAGACCTTCTAGGTGCAAGCATGGGGGTAGAGATTTGGACCTTGTTTTTGCTAGATTGGCTAGCAACTGATGTAGGGAAACCAGCCAAATGCAGGATACCCCCTGAAGCCAGGTAAATACCACTGTGTGCAAGGCTTGGAGGAGACAGGGTAAGAAGCTGCCTCCTATATAAGGTCAGTGCATGCATGCTGGACAGACAGGAGCTGCTGCTTAAATCTGTCCCAGGAAGACCCTAGATTGCTGATTAGGTGCTATTAGATGCAGCTATTCAGTGACATTGGAGATAGTAATAATATTCTAGGGTTAATTAATGACTCTTACTTGGCAGCAAGGCTGCTCCTCAATCAGAGCTGTGTTTGCTTTGCTGAGAGCTTGAAAGGACTCTTGTTTTTGAGGGTAGGGTGATGTGCTCTGGCTTTGAATGGGGCACGCCCGAGTTGCAACAGGAGTGAAGTGGGGTGGAGGTGTATAGGCAAACCCAGTGCAAGGGCTCTTCTTGACTAGGTCACAATCCAGCTGGCTTTAACAAGCACCTGGTGACTGAAACTGGCCCCTTCTGCTGGTCTGGTGACAGCTGAGTCGTCCCAAGGAGGTACTTGGAAACCCAGTGCTTAGTCAGTGGTGGAACAGCTTAATCAAGCTTGCCACTGGGAAGTCTCGCTCTGCGTTTGTCTAAACCTTCCTTAATTTCCTTACTTCAGCTGTGTAGAATCACCATGGAGACCAACTGGGCCAGACCTTTATTTGCCCTTTGCCCGGAGAGTTTAGTTGATTGCCTAGACTGCCTGAGCCTGCTTTGCTGGAGCTGGCGGTCTTGCTACCTCTCTGAATTCCTCCCCTCCTGGGCCTGCCCCTACACATTTGAGGGCGTTCATGTGTAGTTGGCACAGGACACACCTTTGCAAGCTCTCATTATTCAGCTGTGCAAACCCAAGCTTGGCCCTTTCTTCCCTGGCAGGGAAGGCAGAACTTTCACCCATGCAGGATTAGAACCTGTCTCTTCAGTCCTTCCACTGTGCGGATGTTCCTGGCACTGTCTGGGCCTAGACACTGCCTCCCCAGAGCCCCTCGGACTGGAGCACATGGGGGTTGGGTTCAGGGTGCCTTGTCACAGCCTTGGGAGTGGATGTGTGTGGATATAGGCATGGGTCCGTGTTCTGTACTCTTCTACCCCTCAAGTACAGGCATAAAACATTGTCCCATGCTCTTGTAGTAAGTGACTAGGCCCAGGCAGTGAAACACAGGGAGGAAGCAGCTGAGAGGGGCTACCTCTTCCTTCTGCTTCAGAGTGGCCTTCTCTCTGGTAGCTGGGACCCATGATATGATGCCAGTTGGGCCTGTTTCCCGGCTGGGCAGCATGGACCCTACAGAAGTCTCTGGCTGTTGTGGTCACTCTCCAAAACGGGAAGTAACCAAGGGCTCGTCTGCAGTCAGCTGCTGCCACAGGGAAGCTACTAGACTGCAAGGCAGTTGCACAACTTCAGCTGGCTCCAGCTGGAACTGCACAGTTCTGCTACGGCTGCCGTGTGGGCACAGATACAGCGCGCCCTGAGAGGTGCTCCCTGCTGTGACTCTTTTGATAACTAGTACAAGTGCTGCCCAGTTGCCAGGAGACCATTGAGTCTATCCCCCTGCATTTGTAGGCTGCCCTCAAGGACTCCCCAAAATCCCCACTTTATACCCCTGCGCACAGCTGCAAGGCAGACACCAGAAACCCTGGGTGCACCCTGTAGCAGGGGAACATGGGCACTGCCTGGTGACGGGGAGCAGTCAGTAAATAGCTGCTCAGAGGATCTCCCCAGGTCACTGCTGTTTGTAGAGCTGGTGGTGGTGTGTGGGTGGTAAGCTGGGGGTATGCCTACAGCCATAGTGCCACTGGCTGAGCTCGAGCCCTGCTGAGGGGAGACTGGGGCTGAGACTCTTCCCAAATGGGCCAGAATTGTCCAACCACGGCCCCAAGCAGTGAGCCCCTCCTTTTGGGGCATGCGAGCTCTGGTGCCACTGGCACCTCCTTGCTGATTCTCATGGTTCCCTGGGAGCAGAAGGAAGGGGGTCTGGAGATGGTGTTTCCCACAGTGGGGAGGAGAAGGGAATGGAAGTGGGGGGGTCTGAGTAGGTGGGGTTGGGGTGCCCCTTGGCTTTCAGGGTTTGTCTGGGCTGCCTGACTTGTTGGAGGCTATGGACTTTCTCCTCATCCTCTAGCTGTTCCTTCTGGAGCCTTTCTCCACTGCAGAGAGTGGTGGCCTTCACCGTGCTGTGCAGAAGTCAGAGTTGAGCCTATGCCCCAGTGTCACAAAAATCCGGGGGGTGGGGGAGGTAAGGGCTCCTTTGCCTCCCAATAGCTGATGTTCCCAGTCTATAGCTGTGGCAACACCTGACAGCTGATGCTCTGAGCCTGTCTTGGCTGCCTGTCAGTGCCTAATCCTCCTTCCTGACCCTGGCCTGTTCTTAGAAGCACTTGGGAATTAAGCCTCAGGTCAAGCTGGAGCTGCGAGAAGCCGGTGGCTCTGGGGCTTCAAGCTGGTGATGCTCTGGGCATCTGGTTCCTCCATCACAGGTTTTTTTCCTATGCATGGATTCCCCTCTGACTGTACCTCCAGCATCACCCTACTTTCTGTAATGCCTCTTGCTCTTCTCTTGCAGACAGGAGGATTTCTCTCCTGTCCAGGACTTGGTCCCATTGCTGATCTGACTGGTTTCCTCCCCCAGAAGAAGGGACAGGAACATGATGCAGCGCCCAAGTGCTGGCAGGAGAGGGGCCTGTTCACCTGGTCTGAGATGCTCTTGTTTGCCTGGACATTGCATTGCCCAGCTTT